AGGGTCTTAGGTCTTCGGTCTTTGTTTTTGGGTCTTCGTTTTCGACACATCCGAGAATGGCTGTGCATTTCATCCCGGAATAGTTGAAGTTCTAAAAAATAAATGTCAGTCACACTTCTGAAAGTAATAATGTGAGTCTGGAGAAATATTATTTCTTTGTCTTTTGTATGTGGGGCATTATCCTCATTTTGGTAGGGTTTAGACCCGAAAATGCGTCCCCTGTATGTAGGGCATTTTCCTTGTTGGTTTTGCTCTGTCGCTAGTTGTAATGCCGCATGTAATTCCCTGGAGTGTGTGTGTGTGTGTGTGTGTGTGCAGTGGGGGTGATGTTCCAGTGACAGATGCATAAGTTTCAAGTTAGAATTGTTACCTAATTTTTAAAAAAGCAAGTACAGTCAAACCTCCCGTAAGCGACCACCTAAAATGTCAAGCCTTGGACCATATCGGGTTCGAATTTTGCCTCATTAGCATAAGGTAACTGCAGAGACTTACCCCATTGCCATGTTTTAAATGTTTTATTCATGTGGAAAGTCAATTTGGAGAAAAAATCCAGTACTTCCCATTGAGAAGTTCTCTCTCTTGTACCACCCAGGAATGCGATAATTATACAACACCTTATCTAATTTTTGCTATATTGTTGTCAAGTGGTCGTTTCGGGAGGTTAAAAAACAAAAGAAAATTTCAAACTTTAGCTTTAAAAGTTGTCACGATTGCTTACGAGAGGTGTTCGCTTACCAGAAGTTCCAAATATAGTGATTTGACTTGGAAACTTTTGGTATTTTGGAAAACTGGTCACTGAGGAGAGGTTGTACCTTACGAGAGGTGGTCACAACTGGAGGTTCCACTGTATTTTGATCAACTATGTGACTCTAGTAGACCAAAGAAGTGACATCATAAAAAAGTTTGTCCTGAGATCAAGCTAGCTTATGGTTTTAGAATGATGTCATTTCTGTGGCCTACAAGTGTCCCTGTGGTTGATTTGTGTAAATATCACATTCATGAAACATTTACCCACTCTCAGGTGTTATTAATTGCAAAATCGCAATTGTTCACAAGGGAGGAAAAGTTCTCCACAAAAAAGGTTTTCTGTTGTGTTACATGTGCATCATAATATTATGGTCTACATTCTCCTTGACAATACATGTCCATACCCAGGGTTGGGGTGGGGGGTTGAAACTTGGGGGGTATTTTAGATAATTTCTCCAGCAATGATATGTTTAAGATTTGCAAAAAGAAGAAACAAAACAAAACAAAACAAAACGACGACGACAAATCTCATGCAATACAAGGTGCTTGTTTTATTTGCTCCAACAACATTCTTACAGCTTTTGTTAATTAACAAGCTTAACTATAGCTGCATGTGCCATCTTTAAAATGTACCAGCAATATTCTGACTATTGGAACTTTGGTTGTTAACCAGCAAACACATCACGTCAAACCTCATTGAATATATTACCAACCCGGATTAACCCTGAAGAAATTTAATGCATGGTACTGTAATATACCTGCCAAGTTTTGTTCTGAGTCAAAGGTGTGAGATTTTTATCCCTGGGATATTAGAAATTGAAGATCTATTGGTATAAACCCAAAGCCTTCCAATATATTGAGAGGTGTTTAAGGCATTTCTCATTTTCTCATTTTGATGTATTCCTAGACCTATTACGGTATGTGAGGTCAATATCTGTCAATCTATAATTTCTCACCAATAAATAAATAGGCACCTTGCCTTTAAAAATTTTTGCTGAAACACTAAAACACAGAAATTCACCTGCACATGAGAGACTGCAGGAGAGTTGGCACGTAATTAATGTCACACCAGAAGGGGTTTAAATTTGAACTGAATTTTAATTTTGGCTAAAACAACAGCAAAGCTCAAGACAAATTTTAAACTTACTTCTTTGTAACCATAAGTGGAAAAATCAATATTTTTAATAAAATTATGCATAAATATCTCCCTTACATCTGGGTGATTCTGAGTAATTTAGAACTATGGGAATGTGGGCAAATTGCTGTTTAAACTGCACAGACAATTCACTCTCAATAAACTTGGAGACTGCAGACATGATCAGTTACTTGCTGGTCATCATCTTTACAAACTCTGACAAGATAATAACAAAATAAATAAATAAATAAATAAATTAATATTGTATGTAGTTGCAAATAGTTATCAGGTGCAGATCCATATTGGTTTCCATCCCTTCAAAGAAATCAGTCACATTTTACCAGAGTGACTCAGAAACCCAGAACAGAGGTGTTAGGAGTTAAAATCCAAAACGTTTCCTGGGAGAGCATGGACCTGGATCCTCTTGAATTTTAACGCCTTCAGCGCTCATTGTTTTCGAAAACCATTAACAATTTAGGAAAGATCTGCGCCTGATTATGGCAATCCAGATTAAGCCTCAATTCAGAATGTTAGAATACTTGTGGATAAAGATCTTGAACTTTATAGTACAAGGTATTATATATAACCTGTGAAAAGCATGGAACCTCGCCAGGTACAATTGGAGTTGAAAGTTTATGAACACTAAGAGCTCTCATTAGCGGCCATCCTCTAATGTCCTCTGTTACAAAAGCCCATTCTCGTGAGCCACCAGCCACAAATAGGACCACTTTTGAATTCCCATTCACTGCACCTTGAATAAGAAACCTGAGAGTTACCTTCATAGTTGACTTGCCCATCACCATCAATGTCTGCCTCCCTGATCATCTCATCCACTTCTTCATCTGTGAGTTTCTCTCCCAGGTTTGTCATTACATGTCGCAGCTCAGCAGCACTGATAAAACCATTGCCATCCTTGTCAAACACTCGGAAAGCCTCTCTGATTTCCTCTTCACTGTCGTTATCTTTCATTTTCCTTGCCATCATGGTGAGAAATTCAGGAAAATCAATTGTTCCATTACCTGTTTAAAAATTGACACACAGATTGTAGTTTGAAATAATACACCTAAAAAGACTGTTTGATCTATTTGCTGTGTTATCATTAATTTATTGCGTCATTTAACTTGATCAAAAATAGATTTTAATGTTTTATTTCAGCTTTGATCACATGTACATCTCAATACATCTTAAAATAATTTTATCATAGACTTTAGTTTTAGTAGTCTAATAATAATAAACAATAAAGACAAAGAATGAGATGAGATAAAAGCTAATCAAACCACCAAGAATGAAAAGACTGGCATGCAGATTTAAGGCTTAAAAATGGCAGGTCCACAGTGTTAGTCTCAAATGATCTGTTAGGCTGTTTCAGAAAGCACCCTTGTCTTACCATCTGCATCCACTTCATTGATCATATCCTGAAGTTCTGCTTCTGTTGGATTTTGTCCAAGAGATCGCATCACTGTTCCCAGTTCCTTTGTGGTGATTGTACCATCTCCATCCTTGTCAAACAGCGAGAATGCTTCTTTGAATTCTGTTACAGAATACAGAAATACAGTAAGAATGTTATGCAAAGATGAAAGTTAAGATTTAGTTTGAGTGGAGGCGTGCGGCTAGGCATATCTTTAAATACATTGTAAAACCTAGCTACTGAGTATAATACCCAATACCCACCCTATGGAAGGTCACTAGAAATTTTGAGGGGTGATAGGTAAAAACCAATATTTTGAAAGAAAAGTATGAAGCCAAACCGGAAATTCCAGAGGGGTGGTGTGAGGGGGGAGGACATATGGATATTTTTCAGGAACAGTACAATACACAGCTCAGTTCTTACCCTCTTTCATATTTTTCAGCTAAAATTCTACTTTCGTTGCGAGTGTAAATACTCAAGTGTCATACCTGCAATTTGCTCCTCCGTGAGTTGATCAGCCTTGAGAGAAAAATTCCAAATTGAAAATGGAGTTACTTAATTTGCGTCACATGACCACAGCAGGGAATTACAGAAATTGATGAACAGAATTACATTTGCAATTGGATGACGATGTGCTTCAAATAGACTGAGTATATAGTATCATTCAACCATGATCATGAGTTTAAAAACTTGTTATATGAAAGAAAAAAACATATGTTGCACTTGACAAACCTCATGAGGCAGTTGTCATGACATTCAAACCAGCTTGCCTATTTTACTAATTCAGTACATTTTTGGCATTAACCATGAAGAAAATCCAGGACAAGAAAATGCAACTATCAATGGATGTGATCAATTCAAGAGAAAGAATCATAATTATGCTCACAATATTGGAATACAATCATATGCCAGGAAGTCATTTGCAAGCCAACATCAAAATAATTTGATTGCTTTATCTTAGGCATTGCTTAATAGCTTCAATTTGTTTATTTCAAGTGACAGCTGACTTTTCCCACAATAATAATATAGTATATATATATATATATTTTTTTTTGAATTCTCAATTTCTCTGCTTGCAACTTGCACTGAGGTTGAAATTTGATTAGCCCTCAGAATTGAAATGTTAAGTTGCTTTTAAGTGTACCATTTAAAAATACCCGAGTGGCAGACAGACATGAATATGAGATGAATGTGAAAAAGGAACAAAAAAATCAACTTGGAGCAATGCACTGACGTATTATCCATTTCTCCAAACAATGATTGAAACAAATGTATGATTGCCTGTTAGGAGAATTCGAAATGTGAACTTTGAATAAATATTTTACAACTGTTAGACTGGGTTATTTCACCTGTGACAATCAACACTTGGGCCTAGGCAGTTATTGGCTAATGAAAAGCTGTCACTAAATATTACAATAGTTTTCCTCGTCACCTTTTGTGCTGTGTTTTTGTTTTGTGGCATAGTTCTAAAGCAGCTATATAAATTGGACGAAAGAGACTGTACAAATTGGAAGAAAGACTGATATTCTTAACACCTTTAATGATAAGAAAATAACAACAGAAAAAGCTTGATAAAATGTTTAACGTTGCCTTCGACAATACTTGAACTTGAGCTTATATACCCGAAGGAAAAATCGAAAAGCTATCATTATTAATAATCATCCGAAAAGTAAAGCACTTTAAATTGCTGTCAACACGGGCCTGCATGTGTTCGATCTCGGGGAAAACTTCACGAATAATTTGACCAAAATATCAATGAGCGTTTACTTTTATACAATCCAGATCGAAGACGCCACATTAAATTTGGCATGATCGCAACAAAATTTCCCTTTTACCAAATAAACCGGACAAAACAGCATTCCGTTTAAGGAACAGAAAAATAGCTCGCATCTGGCATTCATGAATATTCACCAGCTACTAAATAATACATAACTTTTAAAAACAATTATACTTTACCCGAGGTTTTCACTATGTTCTTTCATGCACAACTTTCTGGGCGAACAAAGCGATTTTTCCTCGCACAAAGCTTAGAACTAATATGCACATATCGCCATTTAATGGCTTTTAAGCATCCTCAGAAAAGCATGATCGACCATCCTACGACTCCAAATGACAATAAAAACCTGTCGGGAAACGCTACTGTGGGCGTTTTTCGGCGGTGGTTGAAATTAGCTTACTCGATCTGGTCATTTACCAAGAAACGAAACCGACTAAGGCTCTCTAATATTTTTACATGTTGTAGCACTTTTGAGTGCTCAAATTCAAATCCAATTGTAATAAATCTAAAAGAATCTTACCATCGTCAGTGCGTTGATTTCTAGTTGTCAAATCCTGCAAAGAATGAGTTTCCAAATTAGAAAACAGAGTAATTTTCTAGCGCCAATTAGTCAAATATGCCTCCCTATTCGCCTTTTGAAAACAATAGACTTCCATATTAGGATGGACATTACTAAAAGTGCGTCGACTTGCGGCTGATGCGGCATCGTAATTATTTGTTTTCCTTTTCCGGGAATGAAATTTGACCATTTCCTATTAGATTCATGCAGCATTAATTGCTAGGTCGTACTTTTATTGGTTCTTCCATAAACGCGAGATATTAGTGTATTTGAAGTATTTGTAGATCGAGTATTGTTACATCGCGTGTCACAGTATAAATAGAAACACAAAGCTCGCGTGACATACGGGCAAGTGCGCTCAATGGCGCGAATCGATCCGTCACGCGAGTCTTGCTCATCACTTCGGATGAAAGTCAGATGGAGTAGTTATGTCTGGAAAGTTGGAAATAATCCTTACGATTCCCATTTGACACTTCGTATAGAAACTGTCCATGACGGCATAGCCATAAGAAAGATTTGATTCTCGCGTTAATTATTTCAGGAGAAGGGGTCAATTTGTAGCTAAGAAACCGAAAACTGAGTTCGCTAAGAAACATTAGAATTTGCGACCCCAGAAAATTGTTCAAAAATACACTAATGATGACAATATCATTTGAAGTAAATATCTTATTGTCACCTTGCAACACTTTCGGAATCAACAACAACTTAGCGAGGCAATCCTGTAAACGGATCACAGAACTCGAAGTCGCAGTTGTGAACGTGCGCTGGCGACAGAAAAATAACAAATATAACGTGAAAACGTTTAAGTATATTAGGGTCAGACAATCCATTTGTCAAGTTCATAGTTAAATTGTACAGTTATGTAGGTTCCTTCAAGTCATGTGCTCAGGTGTCGTAAGAAATTTAGGTCACCCGTCAAGAGGTCCCTCCTCGCATTCTTTCCCCTCTCCTCACACTGTGTGCTTCCGGCATTCTGCATGGTTAAACTAAAGCAAGGTCAAAGGAGCCTTTGCGGAGGGGAGAAGCGCACTTTGAAGAGCTGAAATTTCCTATCCCCAGTGTTTGGCTATGAGAGGTAAAGCTTGATGTTTTGCTTATAATTGTGGTCAGTTTTATTTCTCCTCGTGCCACTGACAATGGTTTACTATCCACTGTAGCTTTACAACTGACAATGCCACTTCTTTACAAATCGCAATCAAATAGAGAGACAAAAAAACATTCAGTTTGTGATCATTGTTTATTTGATCTTCTGGCAAGCAACATAAACAAACTTTGCATTCAAAATATCTTAGAAACATTTTGCAAGAAGTATGTTTTCTAAAAACATTGTCACTATACGGTTATGTACCCTTAGTCCAGTTCTGACACTGTCTCTGTCATGCTGGTCTCAGTGCACTCTTGGTTAAATGGTACATGAAGTATAATCCACCAAAGTGGGTTTTGCAGGCTGACATGTTCTAGTTGTGGTAATAGATTACTATGAGGTCATCATCTCTACAAACTCTGCAGGGAACAAGATCAAAGGGAATTACTGTAATATAGCTTGGTATTTGGTTTAGCATGTACAGGCATTCCTGGTGAGTGAGTATGGTTTTTGGTGCTGGTTCTTGTGTTTTTAATTGCTGGTACACCAAAAATATGAGAAGCAGACACCAGAAATTTCAAGAGAGTTTCCTCAAAGTTAAGACATGTCTAGTAGCTGTTTACCCATTGATCAAGTGAATGCTACAGCAATTTGTAATAATAGAAATTTTTGAGCCTGTACATCTGGGGTTAACTTGGCTTTCATTAGTGGCAGTGACTCCAAGCTGAGAAATAATGGACCTCCCAGGGGCTTGTCAAACAAAGGACATGATCATTTATTTCAAGGGAACATTAAGGGACATTTTGGGGATTAATTTGAGGGGACAAGAGATATCTCCACTATATTACAGGGAACGTTGATATCAAATTTTAGGGAACAGTGCATTTTGTTAATGGGGAACAAGGGAAAAAAGTGAGATTTTGAAGGGATCAAGGTAACATGCTATTCCCCTGGGAGGCCCTCCATAGATGACATTAGAACTGGTACCTGCGACTTAGGGTCTCTGAAACTATTTTTGTTGACCATTACAGCAACTCTGTCATTTTTATAGGGGAGTTCCCGTGGGAGATGATGCTACAATTTTGGAAATGGTAATACTTTGCTCACACATTACAAAATGCCCCATCCCCGACACATTACGAGCTTATACATTAGTGAATTTTCGAAGACATAAAGGGCAGGAAACTTATTACGAAAAAGAGTGTACTACTTTCCCAGTTTTTGTTGTTGTTGTTGTTGTTGTTGTTGTTTTGTTTTGTTTTGGATAATTCCACTAATCTAAATATGTCTTATGCTTTTCAAAGTCCTGCCCATGAAAGTATCTTAATTACTAAATTCAGTGCAACAAAAAATGTTAACTGAAATCATACAAGAGATGGCTGGACCTTGTAGCCAATTATGGGTACAATCATATTTGCAGCTTTCAAAAGCAGGGTACTAAAATTACAGTGAAACCTGTATTATAAAGCAGACTGCATATTAAGCGGTCACCCCCTATTAAGTAGACACCAGCTAGAGTCCCAAAATTTTCTTCCACATTTACTGTAAAATAAACCTGCATTCAGTGGACACCTCTGTTAAGCAGACGTGGACAGAAAAATTAAGCCATTTTGTTGCCCAAAGCCTGTAATAGCCAGACACTTCAAGGGCTTTTCACCTCTAAAAGCTCAACTCAGACTCCTTTAACATTGTTCAGCGATGTCATTTTAAAGCTAAGTAGATTATTCCAGGTTGATACAATGACTGACTGGACATACCCTGGTGAAAATCCTCACAGGATCTTTGAGGATCTTTGAAGATCTTCAAGGACCTACCAAAGATCCTTAAAGATAAGGATCTTTTAAGGATCCTTTAAGGATCTTTGAAGGATCTTTGCTAGGATCCTTCAAGATCCTTGAAGATTCAGTGAAGATCTTGCAAAGATCTTTAAAGAAACTTTTAAAGGATCTTGCAAAGATCTTTCCTAGGAAAGATCTTGCAAAGGTCCTTGGTAAGATCCTAACAGGATCTTTGCTAGGATCCTTCAAGATCCTTGAGTATTCCATGAGGATCTTTGAAAGATCTTTAAGGAATCTTTTGAAGGATGTTGCAAAGATCTTTGCTAAGATCCTTCAAGATCTTTAAGGATTTGATCAAGATCTTGCAAAGATCTTTGGTAAGATCCTAACAGGATCTTTGTTAGGATCCTTTAAGATCCTTGAGGATTTGATGAGGATCTTTGAAAGATCTTTAAGGAATCTTTTGAAGGATCTTATAGAGATCTTTGCCAAGATCCTTCAAGATCTTCAAGGATTTGATCAAGATCTTGCAAAGATCCTTGGTAAGGTCCCAGCAGGATCTTTGCTAGGATCCTTCAAGATCCTTGAAGATTTAATGAGGTTCTTTGACGGTTCTTTAAGGAATTTTTTGAAGGATCTTGCAAAGATCTTTGGTAATCTTTGCTAGGATCCTTAAAGATCCTAATAGGATTAAAGATCTTAATAGGATTCTTTGAAGGATGTTTCAAAGTTTGTTAGACTTTGCAACAGGTATGACTTTAACCTTGTTCAATGTAAGACATCTCTTCATCAAGACTTTTAAAAATTTCATGCTTCTCACAAGTAGATAGTTTTTCAACTCTGTAAGTCAAATGATGTCTGCAAATGGTGTCTTAATAACTTCAAGCTTGTGTCTGGCCTCTAAAGTCACTGAAACAGAGTAAAAAGCCGAATTTGAACACACCAGGCACAAGACGCCATCTTGGATTTGAATGTTGATAGGAACCCGGGAACGAGTCCTATGACCCATGATGCAATGCTATGAGAAAGGAGCGCGTTAATTTCAACAGAAATGCATCAGGAATGATGTTTTATAAGCAACAAAATCTGGTTCTTTTGGCCCTGAAAGAAATTGTACCTAAAAAGAATCACAAGGCTTCTGAAATTAGACTTTAAATGGTGTTTTGATGATCAGCACTGCAATGATATTTATCTCTAAACTTGATCTTGGCATTATGCTGCAGAAATTGTGAAATGTCTTCCTCCTTGTACAATCATAACTTAACCAAAAACAATTTAAAGCTTGTCATAGAAGTTGATCTGAAATCTCTGTTGTGAGCAGTTGCTTTTAGCCTCCATGAAGCCTTCAGAGGTCAACGTACATGTATTTAGCTGATATTAATTACATGTTGCTGTGTGCTTCTGTTCTAGTTATTCACTGGTTATTAAAGCAGAAAATCTTGGAAGTAATAGATTCACCAACAGAACTACATGGTTAAAAAGCTAAGTGAAAAACAATTCACAAACATGAGTGATAATACTTTCACTATTTCCATCACAATCTGTACTGTTCCACTCTGTTGGACCTGACAGGAAATACACTGTAGTCTTGCAGTTCGAAACTTTGAATTTGAAGCTACATGTAGACCTTCAAAAATGTCAGTAAGCTTAAATCTGTATGTCACATACAGAAACCCTTCAAATTTAGGAAATAAAATTAATTATGAACAGAAACAAGATGTTCCAGCTGGTCTTTAATCTGATGTGGTCTCCTCCTTAGCTTTGGCTACTGGACAAAAATCTTAGTGATAATTCTTTTACGAGTGGCTTAATATCTAAGGATAAAGTTGGTGAGTCATTGAATTTTGGTGCAGTATTATTTTGTTTAAATTGTCATTTGCCTCCTAATTTAATATCACTGTTTTTTATACACTGTGTTAAGATACCCAGCTGTCAGAAAGTGTTTTGAAAACACTAGATACCTAGATAAATTAGATAACTAGATAAATTATTATTAATAGAATTTCCACTGCAAAACTAATTCATTTCTTCATAGAATAGTAGACCTTTCTTTAGAAATGTCAAGCAATTTCAAGTATTATTTTGACTTTGTAGTTTAAGAAATTCTCACCTTTGGGCATACTATAAAATTTTGATGTTTTTACACTGAGAAAATAATTCTTGTACCCTGACTCCAGAGTCAACTCTCATAAACTTAAGACCACACACAGTTAAAGCCCTGTGAGAGTGCTCGCTATTTGTTCAGAAATGAAAGAACATTTTGGTTTTGTATTGGACGAATTCTTTTAGCTTCAGCATACTATAAAAATCTAGATCTTGACTCACTGGCACAGTTGTTCAGAAAACTAGATCAAATGGGGCTCTCATGTGCTCTATTTTATAGCCATTTTTTTTTTTTACTATTTTCCTAAAATTATTCACCTATTATCAGCCATTTTAAACCTGCTTTTGTCCCATTTTTGCATGATCTTTCTGGTCACTGGTTTTAAAATAGACATAGTTTTAATGTGGGATACCTATGCTAAACATATTTTTTTCCCTGTTTCATGCCTACATGTATGTTAAAGCTATCTTAGGTCTACTGTATGTTGCAAGGTTTTTTTTCCTACTTACCCCAATTTTATACCTCTTTATGGACAATTTAAGGCTATTTTCTAGGTATTTAATTTTCAACTTGTTTCATTCATGCTATTTTAATACTATGTACTTATCAAGTTGCATAGACATTATTCATTTTTTAAAAGTGGTTTCCAATCCATACGGTGCATCGAGAGTTTGTTTAAGTATTGTATTATTTCATGTAAGACATCACAAAATGTAACATTTCACAACTACTTACTAATACATGAAGTAAATTCAAAGTGCCATGTCAACTGCCAATATGGATACGAAGCTTTATGCCTCGTTCTTTCTCATATCACTTGATGAAACAACTTCGCAGCTGTAAAACTCAATGAAGCTGTTGGAAAAATAACTTGAAAGGCCTCAAAGATAAGGTATATGGTTTGTAACAAATAAGATCCATTTGCATTCCATCAAGTGAGACACACAAACATTAGGGTGCTGAGACTACACAGTACAGACTGGAAATCATTTTTAAGGCTTCTTTTTTTAGTGTTATGTGTGTTTTTGATGAAAAACACAAATAATATGAACAGAATTTAGCTTCAGTCAACTTCTGAACAATTTTGTAAGAATTGTTACACAAATAAAATTTATGTTTACAAGTAACATTTTCTCGTTTGCAATGTGGACATATCCTTTGTTAAAACAGTTAATGTGACTAAGGGCCAGTCCCCTGAAATCTGGTGATCATATCGAGAAACATGTTCTCTGACTCCTTACATCTGATAAAAAACTAATGTATGTACTAATTATCGGAACTGAAAAGTTGGACAAAGATCTTTGAGGGTATTGCAAGATCTTAACAAGGTCCTTGAAGGTCTGAACAAGATCCTTGCCAATGTTTTTGTGGATCTTGCAAAATTCCTTATCAAGATCCTCAAAGATCCTGGTCAAGATTTCCAAGGGTCTTTAAGGATCTTCAAAGTTCTTGCAAAGATCTTTAAAGATCTTGCAAAAGTCTTCAAAGATCTTTAAAAGAACTGAAGATCTTTCAAAGATCTTGAAGGATCTTAACAAGAACTTTGAAGATCCTTAAAGATCCTTCAAGATCTTGGCAAGATCTTTGAAGATCCTGACAAGAAGTTTTAAGATCCTTGAAGATTCCTGAGGGTCCCTAAAGATCTTAACCAGGATCTTTAAAGATCTTGATGAAGATCCTTGCAAAGATCCTCATGAAGATCCTTGAAAGATTTTCACCAGGGTAATGTGCTATGAGCAGTCGTAATGTAAATTATCTTACACTGTGTTACACTGTGTTACAAAAGGGTTAATAATAATTGTTAACTATTATTGCACAATACATTAAAACCTGCTTAGAGTGGACACCCTGTTTTAAGCAGACACTAGTGAGAGTCCCAAGGGTGTCCACTTAATACAGGTTTCACTGTACCCCTATACCAATTTAATGTGCATATACTTTGCCCCTACCATCATAACTGACTTGTCCATCTCCATCAATATCTACCTCTTGGATCATCTCATCCACTTCTTGATCTGTAAGTTTCGGCTCCCAAGTTTGTCATTACATGTTGCAATTCAGCTGCACTGATGTAACCATTGCCAACTTTGTCAACCAATCAAAGAGCTTCCCTGATTTCTTCTTCACTATCACTTTCTTTCATTTTTCTTGCCATCATTGTGAGAAATTCAGGAAAATCAATTGTTCCATTACCTGTTCACAAGACCAGAAGTTAACTGCGTCAGAGCATTTTAGATTTTTCGTTAAGGCCACCGAAAGGCCTTGTCCTGAGTGTTTTGCAAATCATAGCTCAAGCCACCAGCACTTTAATCCTTTATTTCAACACAGATTTATTGAATGGTCGGCAAAGCAGAGTGTCAGCCAAATGGTAATGGAACCCTAGTAATATTATTACTCTGCAGAATCTTTGTGGATATATCTTTAAAGATCTAGACCTAACAGCTACTGAAACCATTTAAGGATCTTTTAATTCAAGCTGGGTTTTTTTTGCAAAAGAAGGGGGTGAATAATAAATGTGAGACTTTGCGAGGTCTCAGGCGAGACTTAAACATTTTTCTTTGCGAGCCTGATAGATTTGTGACATTTTAAATTGCAAGACTGAGACTTCAAAGTGCTTTAAACATGAGTGCAAGGTGTTTGAATAATTCTTAGACATTCAGATGTCAGTTATAAAAACAAACAACCAAATTGGAACTTTATTTAGTCTTGCAAGAAATCGAGACTCCAAAACAGCTTTATGAATTGGAATGAAATCAAGACTGCGAGACTCACAAAACCTCTGAAAAGACGACTGGGAGACCCCTGAAATGCGATGAAAATTTTGTGAGACTCGTGGTTTTAAGTGAGGGAACATATATGTCACCCCTAAAAGATCCTGAATTGAAAGATCTTAGTTGTCAAGATCTTTGTGCAAGATCTTGGAGCAAAATCTTTTAAGGTCAAATATGGATATTGGTCAAAGATCCTGACAGTGGTATACACCCCAGTATCATCTCAGGCAATTATACTAGTGGGTCTGATCAGTCAAGAAGAAGTTGAATTGGATGTGTGGTGCCCTGTATGAATACATACCCAGTTAGCTAGATGAGTTCACCTGGTTCAACAACTTTGGAGGAGACCGAGCATTTGAGCAGTTTAGATGGAAGACATTATTGCTAAACAACCTCCACAGTGTACAGCGTAGTGCAGGAAAACTGCCCTTAAAAATGTTTCCTTTTATTAGGAGCCACCACATATTGAAAAGTCAATGATCAATAATTATAAATAAAGAGTTTTAACTAATAAAGAGTTTTAACTATCGATGGTGGACGCATTGGCAAAGTGTCAGCTGACACAATGGTAGTGTGTTGGCCAAAGCATTACATGAATGGGTTGGATTATTTACCTTTCTTGATCTTGATGATCCTTGAAAGATTTCAGGGATCACAAGTACTCAGCTGAGTTGTACATGTATGTAGGAATAAATATTGATTGAGGTCTCTCTCCTTAGGAGGGGGGTCAGAACCTCCTGCTTCCTGTACCCTGCTCTCCTGCTCCTGGTACCTTTATGTCCCAACTACCACCCTTGTCAATCCTGCTCCCATCCCCTGGAAATTAGGAGACACATCCTAATATGATGTAGCTATGCAATCTTAGATCTCCTGCTTCCCACCCCCTATTCTCCCAGGCTCCTGCTCCCTGGCTCCACTCACTCCTTAATTAATTTAAAGAGTGAACAAAAGGGAGCATGATCAGTCCACATAAGGAACTTAACTAACCATCTGCATCCACTTCATCGATCATATCCTGAAGTTCTGCTTCTGCTGGATTTTGTCCAAGAAATCTCATCACTGTTCCCAGTTCCTTTGTGGCGATTGTACCATCTCCATCCTTGTCAAACAGTGATTTCAAATGCTTCTTTGAATTCTGCAAGTTAGAAGATTGAGAAATGAAATTGCCAGCAGCTTGGGTTATTTATTCTGACTTGCTAGCACAATATATATTAAAATTGCATAGCAAATTAAAAGGAAAGAAATTAAACATTAAAAAACACTCAGTTCCCATATATTCCTTTTATGTCTTTTGTAATAATTTTGGTTTTTCACTCCTTTTGTAATTTATTTTCACAGAATTGTACTGCATCACCTTTGTTTAAATTAGCCTCTGACAAAAATAAAAGCAACCTCATGTAAAATTCTTGGGCATGTAAATGTTTGGCCATTGCCTGTAACAACATAATTTTTGTTCGGCCTATGGCAATAATTTAATAAAAGCCCCAAATTTATAGAATTTGATCTATTTGATGGGAATAGCTTGTGGTATTTTAGAACTTGCCTGCAAATCTGTTCCTCTGTTAGTTGATCAGCCTGCAAAAAATAAAAATAAAATAATAATAAAAAATCAGCAACAGAGAGAATTGTTAAGAGGCATACAAGTCAGACTTTTAACTATTAATGAAAGACAATTGGCTAGGGAGACAATGAATGAGTGCACATCAAAATTGATGGAGCTTATCATCACCAAGTTATTGAAAAAGAACAAAATTGAAAACAAAACAGTTTCTAATAACTAAGCAAGGTTGACGCAAGTTTATTATAAGTGGCCTTTGTTATTCAGGATAATTCAGCACAAAACCCCATCCTATAAATAGTGTTTATAAGGGATAAAACTGGTTTGGGTAATCAAGTTACCCTCTGCTAAACATGTACTTTACTCCAGACGTCCTGGGGCATTTTGCATCCCAAATGGGGCACGTAATTAAACAGACACTTTCAGAAAATATAAACATTTTTGATACCTTTGACTGATTTTCAAATTAAGTCACTTCGACATCTTTAATAACACTGGCTGAATATTTTATCTAATTCCTTCTAAAGAAACAAATTCAAAAATGAAAAAAAAAAAAAAAAGAAGAAAGAAAGAAAAGTTGCGTGACGTTAAAACCTCCAATAAGGAACCGTTCTGACCGTGCCGCGTCCTAAGTAGCCCCTCTTGAAAAAGAGCTCAAGCTTCACCTGTCGCTTTCAGGTTCAACCTCCCCATTGAACTTTTATACCAGCAGCTCAAGAGACCAGAGTTGTCTCGGTAGAACCACATTCGCTGACAGTGAAAACAAAACCTTCCTTCGACTCTCGGCGAGTCACTTCTAAATGAACTTCATAATTAGGCAATCCTTTGAAACACTAATCGTCCTACCTTAAAGAAAAGCCTGTACATGGGAGAAAAAGATACCAAATTTTTTTCACCATTTGTGCCTGTAGATACAAATTTTCATCAGCTACAAGCTTGAAATAGAACACAGTTTATGATTGGTTGCTGCAATATTCCAAATTTGGATTGTCGCCTTTGACTGTGCGTCGCGAGCAGGTCTTATGCAAATTTTTGGCGGTCATTTTTTTGAAAAGTAAGCTGAAAATAATCATTGTCGTGCAGCAGATTACACAGAATTTTTCCTTTCCCTTTCCAAACTCTGATGAGCGAGAACTGAGGGGAGCAAAATGGATTAGTGTAGGTGTGGCGGAGGGAAGGGGAGGGAAAAAGTTGCGTGACACAGGCTGGCGTGACGGAACGTTTCAAGTTGATACCCATTTTCCAGATTAACTGCGAAAATAAATCGTTCAATACTGAAAAATAAAAGGAATATGTATTTTTCCGTGAAGTAAATTTAGTGGCAGAAAGTGAAATAGAGGTTCAATCAATCAAATATTCAAAAAAAGAAACGCGCTTCATAGCCGGCCGCAGACGACGCATTTCCTTACGGGCCGATCCAAATTTGGAATAATCCCTAAGCCAATCACAAACCGTCCTGTATTTAGGCGTTCTCAAAAATAAAATATTCTGGGAGCTTAGGAAAGTTTCAAAGCTGAAGAAAACTTTTCGACACCCGGGATTCAGAAGATGGTAAGCTTTTCTGAGTTTTTCAAATTTAATCGGCGTAAATCACAGCCAAGTTTATTCTTTCGCCTGATCAACTGAACGGATTTCTGTCAATATTGAATGTGCCCTTACAGATTCTCGAATTCAAGGAGACATTTCTGAACTGTTTACTTTATTGACTCTTTCAAAAGTCTTGGATTTTGATTGTTGTATTAGTCTATAAGCATATGTTCGAACTAAATGATGATGTTTTTTATGTTGCAAAGTGTAAACTTGTAATGTTCCTCGCGATCAGTCGCTCAGCATGTCGTTTTGTTTGTAGCAGCAGTGATTACCCGCGTGACTGATCACGAATCCAATATTCTAAATGTGATCAGAGTATTCCTCGCCACGCCCTAGCCTTATGCTTTTAGAAGCGAAATATTCATTTATAATATAACCACACGTCGATCGTTGATCAACTTTTGGTCTTGCTCTCCAAATTTATGCAAGTTAGTTTCGTGATTAAATCGTCACGCTTGAATCACTGCGGCGCACCTCCTTTGTTTTGTTGCTATCGCAACGCATTTAAGTGGTTTCCTAAATTTCTGAATACCAGTTCTAAACTTGAAACTACAAGAAATTCTTTATGAAGACATAAATTCCTCGAAATAGCTATACTGAATACCAAGTATGGTGAATTTCTGAGGATAAATTAATCAAGTGGTTAACCTCATTGACATGGATCATGTGTTTCTTGCCACTGCAGTGTGATGTTGACCCATACTGTTATTTGATGTCTATATAAGCAATACTTCAGTGAGTAGAAAGGCAGAGAGACTCAACAGAACATTAAATCCCTACTTGGTTCCTCCCTACCCCTGCTCCTGGCCACCCCCCCTTCCCCCTCCTCCTCCCCCCACCCTCCCCATGGAGAAAACAAATGTAACTCAACCCTACCAGCACAATTAAAACACATGCACATTATGAAAATTTAATCAGACCTCATTTATTGCGATTTCTTGTAGGCTGATCAGCTGACAGAGGAACAGATTGCCGGTAAGTAATTAAGAAACGTTGACTTGTAGAGAAATACCACTTACTGGTACTTACCGATCTTCCTTTAGGGGTAAAATAACACTAAAATAAAACATTGGAACCAGCTACAATCAGGACGTTTAATAACTCGCAGTGGTTGTCTTTTGCACAATGTCAAATCTAGTGATGTCACTCAGGATGACAACCTCTTTTCGCCAATCCTGATCTATTTAGAATTCAAAGAAGCATTCTCACTGTTTGACAAGGATGGAGATGGTACAATCACCACAAAGGAACTGGGAACAGTAATGAGGTCTCTTGGACAAAACCCAACAGAAGCAGAACTTCAGGACATGATCAATGAAGTGGATGCAGATGGT